CCGCAGGGCCCCGCGCTCAGCCTGGGGGGGTCTCGGCTTCGGGACGCCCCGCAGGATAAGCCGGACTCCGCAGGGAAGGTATTTTTATCCCGGAGCCGGGGGGGGGGTTTCTGCTGCCACCCTGCCCGGCTCTGGGCAGCTCAGACACCCCTGGGGCTCCGGAGCCTCCCCGGAGTGCCCCGCACGGAAACGGCTCCAGGTGCCACGTGGTCGGGTCTCGGTGCCACCTTCGGGGTGTATTTGGGGGGAACATGATGACAGGAGAGGGCCCCGGAGCTGAGGGGCCCACAGGGCTTTGCTGCTTTGGAAGCAGCGCTCGGAGCCACCTTATCCCGTAACAGGAATCTCAGGGCAGAGCTAGACCTTATCTTACAGATTGGGAGACCTGGGAAGATCTCTCCTTGAAGATACATTTCCAGGGAGCTCTAGGTGCCTGCTAGGTATCTAGAGCTCCTACAATCCTCTCTGGAGACGTGTCTAGAGGTTTGGTTGGGAGGACAGGTTGGTACCAAGTCCCAGGAGGTGACTTGGGGCTTTCAGGAGCAGGGAAGGTCCCTCTGGGCCAACGTTGGCCACCAACATTGTTGTCCTGAGCAGATGTCTACCCATCCGCTCTGAGGGACAGGAGGCCCATTGACACTTTGGGGCCTGATTCACCCAGCGCAGGTTTTGGGCTGACCTAAGGAGGTGGCTGGGTGAGAAACCTCAATGGGGTGTGAGACACCCCATGTTGGGTGAGAAGACCCAAGTACCTGAATGTCTTCTCAACATGGCTGGGAAAGGAGGCCCAAGGCTGAAGGGAGACGGTGGCAGCAGCAGGTGAATCCAGGCCCAGGGGGAGAAGCCACCAGGCTCTTCTTGAGAGCAGCCAACAGGGGCCTAAAGGAAGAGATCTGAAAAGATCCCACCCCTTGGCACGATGTCCCCCACCGAGGGCATCTCCTCTCACCTAGGAGGAGAAATTCGTAGCCTCAAGGTCTTTCTGGCCTCCTTCCCCCTTTCCTCCCCCTTGACTAGTCCAAACCCAGAGGACCTGGAAGCCCTGGGAGGTGCCTCCAGCTCCGCTCCCTACAGGGCTGACCCAGCTCCCGGCCCCAGACGGCGTCTGGGCTCGTGCGGCTTTCGCTCCATCCCGGTTTTCCCTCCTCCACATCCCAGTCTGGGATCAGAGGCAGGTCCATTGCCAGGTCTGGCGGCTCGGAGACCTTTTGGCAGCCCCTTCAAGCCTGGAAAGGGCCATGCTTCCAAGTCGGTTTATTGCTGCTGCTCCTTATTTTTACCCGGGCTGGGAATCAAACACCTCCAGGAAGGGGTTCCTGGGCTCAGAGCAGCGCCGGGGGCTCCGGCCGCCCCGTCAGCCCCTGGCCGGGCGCCACCGCTCCGGAGAACTGCAATAAACCCAGGGCTTTCGCGGCATTTTCCAAGGCGAGATCCACGGCACTCGCCCTTTCCAGACACGGAAAGCGAGACCGAGTGGGGAGCTTGGCAGAAAGAGCGGAGACTTCCCGGCAAAGGGCTGGGAACGTCGGCAATGGGACCAGCCGTGCCGGTTAATGGGCCACGGAGCTGTACGTTGGGAAGAGCAGCCCGGATCCCTCCTCTCCAGGCCTCCCGTTGCCTTTGTGCGGCTGCTCCAAGGCTCCGACTCTGCATCCAGGTTGCTGTCAAGAGCCCCCCCTTGAGGTGACATCTTCCAGAGGGTCTTCAGTGCTGGGCAGAGGTTTTGTCCACGTGGAGGAAGGATGCAAGGAGTGCTGGTGGCATCAGGAGCAGGATGAGGAGAGGCTTCCACAGGGAGCAACTTGCTCCATGTCAACCGTTTGCTGGAGGTGCCAGGTTCTCCTGACCCATTTCGGTTGGATGTGGCGGTTGTGTCCTCTACATCTCAAACTAGAGCTTCACCCACGGCTTCACCCTCTCAGCCTTGGCCCAAGAGGCCTCGGCCTCACACATCCCTGCCCAAGGTGTGTGGTGGCCTCCATACACCACGTCCCTACCAGCTCATGAGCTCTTCGGGAGCCACTTTTGCCCAGATTTGGGTTGTTCTCCCTCAGGATAACGATTTTGGCCAAACCCTTCAAGGAGCTGAGCCCCACGCTGCCCTTTGCAGGCCCAGTTTGGTCAAGGACAAAGCTCAGGAGGCCAAGGGGACCCATCAGGGCTCCCGCACATGAAAACCCATCGTGACGCAGCTCTGGAAGAGACCGAGGTGAGAAATCATGGAGTGAGGTTTAGTCATGGATAACGCTCCAGGCCATCACCTCACAGGGCTGCACTCCTGGCCGCCCACACTCCAACCCTCCCCATTACGATGGGAAAATTGGTAATAAATAAGTAAATAAATAAATAAATCAGGCAAGTGGGTCTAAATCTGAAGGAATTTGCCCTATTTTGGAGCCCGCGAGCTGGCGCTTAGTGGAGCGGGTTGGGCTGCGGCCGGAGCGCACGGCACAGGCGCCACCTCCTTGCGAGCGCCGGCAAATTCAGCCCTTGCTCATCGGGAAAACGGGAGCGAGGACGAGGAGGGTGGAAGGAAGCTCCCCGCTCGCCCGCAAGGTGATGCAGCTGCTCCCTTACTCACTCGCTGTCACTTCCCGAGGACACCGAGGCCTTTGTCGTCACCACCCCGGGTGCTCAAATCCCCCGCGGGGACGTTTCCAGGCGGAGCTGGAGAAATTAAGGAAAAAACACCCGGTTAGATTCAATACTTCTCTTCTTTGAGCCAGGAGCTGCTCTTGCTCCATCTAAGAGGGGACAGGATGGTCGCCCGTGACCTCTCACGGGCCAAGGAGCAGTCACTCATGTTCCAGGGAGTTAATTCTTCGGCCTCGCCAGGTCCCTTTTCTCCTCTCCCTCGGAGGATGCGGCTCCACTGGCACCTTGTTTTTCCTGGATAAACTTCACACGGAGAAATGTGCCGGAATGGAGCTGCCTCCTCGCGAGCCAAGGCCAACAAGGAGCAACGGGGAGCGACGCGGCGCGCCGGGAATGGCAGAGCTGGACTCCCCTGGAGCCAAGTCCGGATGGGAACAGGGATAATTCAGGGATAATTCAGGCCTCTCCCTGTCCAACAGGGCTCCAACAGGGATGGAGAAACCCGCGGGAGAAGGAGGAGGCCCCAAACATGGGCTGGCATTTTGGGGATGGCTCCTTTCCCTGGAGCCCAGCGAGGATCCGGGCGGGAGCAGGACCGGCCCGGTGGGTTTGGATGTGTTTGCACTGGATCCACGCCTGGATCTGCCAGTCAAATTAAGGACTGGAGGAAGTCGAGTAACAGCATGACCTAAAAAACCAAGGGAAGGGTGTAACCCAAGCAGAGGCAGCTGGCGGGTTTTGCACAACACTAAGCCTTGGTTCAACAGTCTCTTTCACTCCCTGCAAACCCCAAACTCAACAGAAATCCAAGGGCACTTCAGTTGCCATTAAAAAAAAAAGCAAATTTCTACAAACTAGAAACAAGGTGTGAACGAGGGTTGTATTTTGGGGGATCTTCCATTATTTTACCCCATACCCTGGAGAAACTGGTCCGCGGTGTTTTCTGAGGGCTGGACAATGAGAAGTCATCCAAGTGAGATGCCCAATCTTCTGCTCCTAGGGAAAGGTCATCTTGGACGCTTCCTTTTGGGTGGAAAGGGGAAGCAAAATGCAACGAGTTCAGCATTAACCAGTGGACGCAGCTCTGGAGAAGGAACCTGGGTGGTTGATGGTCACAACTACCTTCCTGACCAATGTTCCTGAAGATGCATCTTGAAATCGGGACACCCCAAAGTCTCAGAATAGGAGGCCAGGACTCACCTGGCTCTGAGTCACGTTGCAGACAGCGGGGGAAGGAGCTCGTGTCAGAGCTGCAACCAAGTGAGTCAGCGACGTGTACGGACTAACACCTGGAGCATGGCCAGTCCCCACCTCCAGGACCAGGAGCTCCAGGACCAGGCTGAGATCACCCAAACCCACCCCTCAGCGGAGCCCAAGAAGCCCCCAAAATCAGCTCCCCTCTCAGGGCAACTTCTCATTCTCAGCTTAATTTAGGATGTATTTGTGATACCCACGGCCCTCCAGACTATCCCTGCTGCAGGGATGACTCAGCTGCTCCTGTAGTAACTGCAAATTGCCACAAAAACTGCACTCTGAGGAACCCCAAACTCACTGCTAATTTATCTTACCATCCCCTTACCTTTCTTCTGAGCTGTAAAATGCTCAGAGATGCTTCACAGCCAGCTGGGAGCCCCAGCAAGACTAAAAGAACTGAGGAATAGATGGGTTGAAGACAAGATAAGAAACATTTTAAGACTCTCATGGGGAGTTATTTTCACTTGCAATTTAGAAGTCTAGGAATATATAAGTAAATACCCAGTAGATAAACAACAGCCACTTGCTCTGTACCCAGCACATGGGGATGATTTGGGTGTTTTTTATAGGTTATTGGGTCTCAAGCACCTTTCTGGAACATTTTTCCACCCAGACACAGCAGCAGCAAGTGAATCTCTTGCTTTCCAAGACGTGTGTGGTTAGTCCTGCCAAAGCAGAGGTGTTTAGATCTTCCAGTAAAACCTTCATGAATGTGCATATCCATCGGCACTTAAAACAGGAAGGGGAAAATGAGCAAATAAATAAATCTTAGGACCTACCACACAGGTGATTTACAAGAGAGGAAAAAATAAAGATGTCATCCATAGGATTCGGTCATTTTATTCCTGGTTTTCCAAGGATTTTTCTTTGTTCTTTTGGGTTTGCTTTTACATTAGACCCTTGGCTGCTGCCTAAGATGGTGCAACAGTGAAATGGCAGTATTAAAAAGCAAATTACCACGAGATTTTAATTTCCAACTCAGCTTATTGAGCGATGGACGTTTTCCTAATATTTACTTAGCCTGAAGAATGAACACGTTGGACAGAGGAAGCTTTTCCTGAAAGACTCAATACAAAATCTTTATCCTATCATTCACAGGGGTGAATCCCACCACAGACATCCCTAGGGCTTCCCTGAGCTTCTAAGCAATTCCACCTTCCTGGAATCTGAAATACAAAATTCCAGGTGGAATTATGAACAGACAATCCCTCCTTCCCCCACAAAGCACAGTCTTAAAAACTGGATCAGACACTTTGGATTTCAGATCATTTGTTGGCATTCAAATCACAGTGCTCAGACTTGTCACCCCTTTAATACTCAGCAACCTGGAGGCTGCCGTTTTGGGGTAAAATACAACTTCCTCCCCAGTGGGAGGAAGACTAGAATTTTGGCTCTGATGATATTAATGTCACCCCCAACATTTAAACCACCAAAGCACAAAACTGCAATAGATCCTGGGGGGATCCCAGAGGGAGAAACGTCAAAACCCAAAGCACAACCCGGCCGTTATCCTTCACGTGTGGGCAAATCCCAAAGGGATCTGCTGCGGTTCTACACACAGGGACAGGGCTTTGTCACAGCGATGTGGCTTTGCAGACGGGATGCTGCAGTTCCGGCAGTGCAGGACAGCGATCCTGCCACTTACTGCACATAAAACCAAGTGGCCCCCACGGTGGTGGCTCTGAACAAGTGCAGAAATACTCTTTGAACACTTCCCAGATGTCACCATCTGAGGACACTGTCTCTAAATCCCTTTGCAGGCAGGGAAGAGGCAGAGAGGCGCTCCCAGGACACATCCTAACACGGACATCTACAACACGAAGGAATCCATGGATGGATTTCTCCAAGGATGGAGAAATCCTGCTCCAGAAGCACCTATTTCCTTCCTGTGACTGCAAAGGGAGACGTCTTTAGGCCAGAGATATCTAAAATTAGGCAAAATTAACCCCCCTCAAAGAGCGAGCCTGTAATGGGGTGACAGCCCAGCAGGCCAACAGGGCAGAGACTCAACTCCAAGCCAGGGCTACAACTTGCCCGAGCCTCTCGTTGCTAAAGCAGTCACCGATGGAGGAGAGGGCTGTGAAGCGCTGCCCCACGAACACTATTTACACAGTTTGCTTAAATTAAAGGTTGCTTCTTGAGGGGAGGTAGACGAGAGAGAGACAGAGGCTTCGTGCTGCGGGGATCTAAAGGCGCTGCCCCTCCTGGTCACCTGGAGCCCCGTCAGTTGTAGGACAGGTACTGGATGAGGCGCTGCGGGATGTTGAGCTTGGCGATCTTCTCCAGCGCTCGCCGCCCGGCCGCCTTCCTCACGGTCACTCTGCAGAGCTGCGACAAACTCAGCGGCGTTTCTGCAACGAGAGGAGGGGACCCCAAGTCACCACCACAGCCCTGGGGACGCTGACGCCCGAGAGGGTGACACGGGGCTCCCTTCCTCATCTGCAGCCCCCAGGGACCCAGCGCAGAGGCTGAAGCCACAGGGGCTCGTGAGCTCATCTGCACCCCCGAGGCCCGCACGTTTCCTTGGCTGATGCTGCATGGAGTTCCAGCACTGCCAAATAAAGGAATAAAACCTCCTCCCAGCCCTTCTCCTCTACTGCCCTATTTTTTCATCAGAGGATTGCATGAATCCCTGTCACCGAGCAGCTGAGAGCTCCCTATGCCTCTCTAATGCCTTTCCAGACAGCCTCCAGCCTCTATCCCAGATGTTGGCACACGCAAGCGTGGAATTCCGATGAGCCACGTTGCTCTGGAAGCCATCAAGTGTGAAGAGTTACTGCCCCTATCCCCACCAGCCTCCAAGATCTGCTCCCATCCTGAATCTAGGCCTGGATTTAATGAGGCAAGTTAAAGATAAATCCCCCAAAAAAGAACTACTATTAAAGTTATCACAGTTCTCTTGGAATGGTCTGTTGAAAAGCAACTGGACAGGCTTTTCTGATAGCAGAGGGGGCAGTAAACTCTGGCAAAATACAGTGGTATTTATGGGCATGGAGGATGAAATCTCTTAACCCAGTCCAGCTGCAGCCAGCACGGCGTGCTTAACTTGGCTGAGAAAAGAGAAAAAGAAATAAGTTTCTTTCTTTTCTTTCTTTCTTTTAGAGGAGAGGCTGCTCACAGAGAGCAGGAGGCAGAGAGAGAAGGCCTGGAGGGGGTTAGTCACACAAATGGGGCTGCCACTCGTTGGATTCCCAGCGCAGGGGACCGTATCCCACTCACTCTCATAGTACTCAAAGCACTTGGCCGCGGGGCTGCTGCTCCAGGTGTAGTCTGATGGTTTCTTCCCGCGGTTGTCCCGGGCGTAAACATTGCCTCCGAATTCGACCAGCATCTCCACGAGGTCGGCGTTCCTCACCTTGGCTGCGTGGTGCAGGGCTGTCTCGTGAAGTTTAGCGGCATTCACGTTGGCCCCTGGAACCAGAGAGAGAAAGAGTTCTGCTCGGGGGAGGAATCGCTTGACCCAGCCATGAGGGATGGTTTGGCTGGAGGGAAAAAGGTCCCTGAAACAGCGACGAGGGGCTACAATGAGATCCCAATGACACAGCCCAAACAGGAAACCAAAGTGCTGAACAAGTTCAGTGCTGGCAGCGTCCCTGGCTTTCTGCTTTCCTTGCACAGAAAGGATTTTAATCCACATTACAAGGTAAATAAGCAGCTGAGTGCGACACTCGGAACAGCTTCCTGAACCCATGTGCTTTCCGAAGCCAGCAAAGAGACATTCCCAGTCACCAGGTGAACAGGGACATCTTTGTGAACTGCTTTTATTTAATAGAAACGCTGCAGACCTGTTTGATGCAGCAGCTGACTCCTCACTCTGAGATCTAGTCTTAGCCACAGATATTTTTGCTAAGGAAAATTATTGCCTTTATAAAGCGATAGCAGAAGGTCCTTCTAACACCCCCCAACTGCTCGTGTTCCTCCTCTCAAGCTGATTTTCCAACAGAGGTGAGGGAAACCTCACAGAATTCACACAACTGACATTAAATAGGTCTGTCCGAGCAGGTCACACTGGATTATTTTTATAATTGACAAAGAGAAACGGGCAACGAATTAACTTCAAGTGGAGAGCAGTGCCCAATACAGGGAAGTGGTGGGAGGAAGCGGGGAACCAACAAGCTGAGCTGCGTAATTTCAGATATTTAATGTCCAACGTGACAAATGCCACCCTAGGCAAGATCGTTTCCTGCTAAGGAGAGGCTAAACCAAGAAGTCCAATTCCGGATTCCTCCAACACAAGCAGCAGTGAAACCAGGATGCGAAACCTGAAGCAGAAAATACTTGACTTCCCACCAAACTCTTCTTGGCTGACACTAGCCAGAGCTCCCAGGGGCATCATCTGAAGTCATCTCTCCTTTTCTGCACAACACCAAACCCCAACATCTCTCTGCTGTCCAAAACCACAAGCCTACGTGGCCGATACTGAACCTACACACTGCTGTGTGTAGGTTCACCAGGGAGAAATCAAAGTGCTGCTCCCAAGGGCTGAAGAATTCTGGTTTTCTATTAAAATAAGGGAAGGAAATATTGCTTGGGATATCATAAACTGGATATTGACCTGCATACACTGAAAAGGAAGGTAGAGAGGGGATCTGATTAATATGTATAAATATGTGAGAAGAACTTGTTTGGTGGGAGGGTGCCCGAGCCCTGGCCCAGGCTGTCAGGTGCTCAGGTAACGCCGGGGCTGTCGTACCTGCCTTGAGCAGCAGCTTCACGCAGTCCAGATGCTCCCTGGCACAGGCCACGTGCAGCGGTGTCCCGAAATGGCAGTCGTGGGCCTCCAAGTTGGCTCCGACGTCGATGAGGAGCTGCACGCACTCCGGGCTGCCTTTAGAGAGGGAAGATGGGAGTCAAAAGAAGGACCCTGGCTTGAACTGGAGCACCTCACATGCTGGCAGCAGCCTGACTTAGGAAGTGCTTCATATCTGGGTGATGGCTGCAAAGATACAAATGCTTAATATATATGTGTTTAATTGGAGGATCTGGTGCAGAGCGACAGGGCTGAGGAAGGGCCTGGAGCAGCTGTGGTGTGAGGAGAGGCCGAGCGAGCGGGGCCTGCCGAGCTGGAGAAGAGGAGGCCAAGAGGGGACCTGGTCAGTGTGTGCAAGCAGCCGAGGGGAGGATGGAGGGAGGAAGGGCCAAGCTCTTGTGGGTGGTGGCCAGTGGCAGGCCAAGGGGCCCTGGGGCCAAGCTGCAGCGCAGGCAGCTCCATGTGCCCGTGAGGAAGAGCTTGTTTGGTGGGAGGGTGCCCGAGCCCTGGCCCAGGCTGCCCAGGGAGGCTGCGGAGGCTCCTGCTCTGCAGATCTGCCAGCGCGCCGGGATGCGCCCGGGTGCCCCGTGCTCTGGGTGTCCCTGCTGGAGCAGGGGCTGCCCTGGGGGAGCCCTGGGGGTCCCTTCCAGCCTCAGCCATCCTGGGATTCTGTGAAAATAAGCCCAACACGGGCAGCTTGGACACCAGGCGCAGCTCGGACGCCGGGGTCTTACCGTTCATGCAGGCCTCGTGCAGCGGGGACGCGGTGTAGAGCGGCGGGTTCACCTTGGCGCCGTGCGACAGCAGCACCTTCACGCACTCCACGCTGCCCGAGGCGCAGGCGTCACACAGCGGGGTGCTCCCGTCGATGTTCCTCGCGTCCACCTGCGAGGCACAGAGGCTCTTACGGAGCACCCGGCTTCGGGCCCCGGCCGTCTTTGTGCTGCTTCTAACTCCAGATTTGCTCAGGGATCAGGATCCCGGGGGTTGATGCTGCCAGTAATCCGCCTTGCAGCGCTCCCAAGTGGGGATGCATGCTAATTTTCCAAGTAGCTGCTACATTTTAGGATGTTATTCCCCTTCCCAAGGTTTTCCTACTATTCTCCTGCTAAACTTTACAAGTTCAACATGGTACAGAGCGGTGCAACTGCTGCTCTGCATTCTACCACAGAGTCAGGCTTCAGGCGTGGTTCAACCAAACTGGCTGATTTTGCGCTGAAAAGGTGCCTGGATTTGCTCTGGGATTAGTTGTCTCTAGTGCGTGAGACGTGAGAAGATTTTTCCTTTCTCCATTAAAAAAAAGTAATAAAAGAAAGATATATATATAGATAGATAGATCGATAAATATAAGAGATATATAAGTTTAAAACCCCACAGGAACCCAGCTTGTCCCCTGCTCCTCTCCTAGCCACCTTAGCCTTAGCCAAGCGAGCCCAAGGAGACTCAACCTCCATCCCAAAGCCCGAGTGAAGAAGCTGGAGCCAGACGGAGCGAACCTGGCCCCTTGGAATAACTTCAGAGGGGAGGACGAGGAGCTGCACACGCACCTGGGCGCCGGCGGCCAGCAGGAGCTTGACGCACTGCGTCTGCCCGCGCAGACTCGCCTCGTGCAGCGGGGTGATGGAGTCGTAGGTGACGGCGTTGACGCAGGCGCCGCTCTCGATGAGCTGCTGCAGCTGCAGGATCTCTCCGCGCCTGGCGGCTTCGTGAACCGGAGTCCGGTCGGCCCAGAAGCCTGGAGGAGAGGCAGGAAATACATTAAAAACAAAATATCAGAATGAATGGGCTTCTGTGATGGAAAAACTAGCTCTGCCAGAAGCGGGACACGCGCCAGCAGCTTGGAGATTGGGAGTAAGCAGCTTATTCCTCCCTGCACCACCAGCTCCACGGGCAATTTTAAATTAACTGCTTCAGTTTTCTGCTTCCAGACCAAACAGTGACCTCAGAGAGGCTGTTCAGGACACTTATGATTTGTGCACCACTCCACAGTCCTTGTTTAAACCTGTATCCAAGCAGAAACCATCAGCAGGGCTTGGATAGTTGGGTCAAGACTCATCCTATCAGGCTCTTAACTATTTAGAGTTAGAGGCACCATCCCTCTTGGCTCCATCTACAATAATCGGAAATGGAAACCTGAAGGGAAAACTTCAGTTCATCTAAAAACTCTCTTCCACGAACACCAGTCCCTCTTGGAAGTCCAGAGGGATCCTGGAGAGCATCAAAGCCAATTTCTTTACACGGATGATCATGGAGCCAACAAGTTGGAAGTTGCTGGACTTCCGATTGCACAGCAAGGAAGGGCAGGTCGCGGATGCAAAGGCTGAGGGCAGCCTTTGCTGCAGAAACCATGAGATGCTGGAGTTCAGGATCCTGCGAGGACGGAGCAGAGCAGAAAGCAGATAACAGGTGGATGTCATCCCTATCTTGAAGATGGTCCAGAAGGAAGATCTTCTGGAGATCTTGTAGATCTCCTTGTAGATCTTCTGAAGATCTTGTAGATCTTCAGAACTGCAGGCCAGTCAGTCTCATCTTCATGGCAACGCAATGGAGCAGCTCATGCTGGATATCAGTGGCACAAAGTTCAGCTGGAGACCAGTGATTACAGGTGTTCCCAGGGGCCCATATGGCCAATTCTGCTCCACATCCTCATAATGAGCTGGGTGAGGGGACACAGGGAACCCCCAGCAGGTTTGCAGGTAAGATAGACCTGGGAGAAGCAGCTGATGCAGCTGGTGGTTGTGCTGCTGTTCCAAAGGATGTGCTGGAGAAAGGGGCAGGCAGGAACCCGCCAAGTTCAGCAAAGGGAAGAGCCAAGTCCTGCAGAGAAGGACCCGGTTCTGGTGGATGAGTCAACCACAAAACAGCAACGGGCTCCTGTGGCCAAGAAGGCCAAGGGCTTCCTTGCAGGTCAAGGCATCCTTGCAGGATCCAGGGGATCCAGGATCTCAGTGGCTCCGGTGCCATTGGTTCCTCACGGAACGGGGACGTCGGCAGCGCGGCCCGCGCCGCTCCTGGGGACGGACGGGGCCTCCATTCACCCCAGGAGGCCGCAGGAGCCGCCTGGTGCTCCCTGCGCCGCGGCAGCAACACGGTATTTTCACGGGCTCCGGTTTCTCGGCTCCTGCACAAGCTCCTCTTCTTGCCGACTCATAGAAGGGGGGATTTGGGCTCTCCATCATTTTCTGCGGTTCTCATCCCACCTCCTCATCTTCTTTTTCCCAAGGAAAAAGGCCCCTCGGGAAGCACCAGCCTCTCCTCTCCAGGGCCAGCGATGCTTCTTTGCACCAAAACCCCGGAGTTTTGCCAAGGACTGACCCCTCTTAACCCTCCATCTCCCCACAGCCCCCTCCTCAATCCCCCCACATCTCCCCACAGCCCCCTCACACCTCCACATCTCCCCACAACTTCTCCTTCATATTCCCAACCCTCCCCACAGCCCCTCATGCCCCTAAATCACCCCACAGCCCCCTCCTCAGACCCACAGCCCCCTCCTCAGACCCCCACATCTCACCATAGCCCTGTCCTCACCTCAACCATCCTCACAGCCCCCCCAGACCCCATATCTCCCCATAGTCCCCTCCTCAGACCCCCAAACCTCCTCACAGTCCCCTCATAGCCCCACAGCATCAAACCCACCCACATCTCCCCACAGCCCCAATACTCCCCACTGCTCCTCACACCCCTCATCTCCCCATAGCCCCTTCCTCAGGCCCCTAACCTTCCCCATAGCCTCCTCATAGCCCTATAGCCTCCTTCCTCAGACCTCCAAGGCTCCCCACTGCCTCCTCTCACCCTAACATCTCCCCACAGCCCCAAACCTGCCCCACATCTCCCCACAGCCCCCTCCTCACAGCCCCAATCCTCCCCACAGCCCCCTCCACCCCCATATCTCCCCACAGCCCCCTCATTGCCCCACAGTTCCCTCCAATCTTCCCATACCCCCCCTCCTCAGACCCCTACATCTCCCCACAGCCCACTCAGAGCCCTATAGCCCCCTGCTTAGACCCCACGGCCCCCTCGTAGCCCCACAGCCCCCTCCTCAGACCTCAACCCTCCTCACAGCCCCCTATCTCCCTATATCCCCTCCTCAGAACCCCACAGCCCCCTCA